TTATAGTTAATTAATTAGATAATTTTTAAATATATAAATATATATATATTCAATGAATATTCAATGAATTATTTGGTAAATAAATTAAATATTCGAATATTCAATTTGGTGAAAAAAATCTTATTCGAATATTCGAAAATTCAGTGAATATTCGAATATAGTATTCATTGGATCAAACCTCTAGATATAACATGAAATTAAACCAAAAAAAAAAATTATTAATAACTCAAAAATTTGATTATAAAACTATTTTTTACATTCTAACAAAAAAAATTCTTTGCTAAATTTTGATATAAACTATATCTTGCTTCAACTATAATATTACTCTAACTCTAACCTTTAACTACAAGAGCTTATTTATAAAAAAATATTGTTTTGATATTCATGTTACACCTGATTTTAGTTACAGTTACAAAAAATTTATTGTAATCTACAGTTACAAATTGATTAATCCTTTTTTAAAAAAAATTATTAATACCGTATTACCGCGAAATAACGACCATGGGCGTTATTTCGAGGTTCGGCCCGAATTAAGGTTAATTTAGGCCGGAAATTGTAATTTCACTCCTGCGCGTTATTTCGCGGTAATACGGTAACTCTAAAATTTGATTATAAAACCATCTTTTACGTTCTAACATAAAAAATTCTTTGCTAAATTTTGATATAAATTATGCTCCCCTAACTACTCTTAGTTGCAAAGTTTTATTGTCCGGAGTGTAGCGACTGACCTCCATTCTATGCTTAGTGATAAAAATGTCCGGATGATTCGCACGTGAGCTATTCGTTAAATTATGATTGGGTATCACTCTACTAGACTTTGATCAAAATGTTCGGATGTTCTTCACGTGATATATTCGTTAACCTATGATTGGGTAAAACTCTAATACTAGACTTACTTTGATCAAAATGTCCGGATGTCCTTACGTAACACAATAAATAGAATAAATAGGTAACTGTGTACGCAGATCGTAAATTCGATCAGACGGCTTTTTTGTATTTTCACCCAAAAGAATTTTTATTGTTTGCTCCGGACATTAACAGCCCCTGTTAACCTAGTTTTTATAAAAAAAAAATTGTGATTACCTGATCTTAATTACGGTTGCAGTAACTTAAGGTTACAAATTTATTAATTCAAAGTTAGAATTATGTAAATTTAAAAAACTACTAATATTTTTAATGTAATGCGTAATCTGAATTTTCGGGTCGGAAAAGGTCGGTTGTCATGAGACCGCGACATTTTTATGGCACGACTAACCCACCTAATTTAGGAACTATACAGTAAATTTCTTTAGTAGGTTTAGTAAACCTAAGAGACGTTCAAAGAAAAGCTATCGAAGATCAACCATTTTTTTTTATTGGTCGGATCACATGTATAAAGACCTATTTTTATTGGTTAGATCACGTGTAACCCCGAAAAATCAGCAAAACGCAAAAATTTGGAAATTTTGAGATTTAAGTACAAAATTTTACATGTCCCTGCCATATGAAGAGGAACTAATACCACCTGGTAATTTTACCATGGTATCAACCTGGGTCTACAGAAGCAGCTTTCCAAAGAAAAAGAATTTTCCTTTCTTAAAAAAACTAGGTTTGAAAAGTATTTTGTAAAGATTTTTTTTTTTTTTTTATAATTTTATTGTTAATAAAGTAAGGTTTATCAATTCATTTATTTATTTTTTTTTTAATTCAAAATATGAAAAGAACTTTAATATTAGAAGATTATCCCGAACAAAATAAGAAATTCTTAGAAGCGAACAATATTAAATTGTTTCAGTTTGGAATTGCGGGTAATAAAGTAAGTCAGACCAATTCATATTTTTAATGTTAATAGATTAATTTAATTATTTTATCTAATACAATCCAACCTATTAGGAGCCATTCGTTCAGAGTAATGCTCATTTTCTATATTTTTTGATTAGATATTTGATATAATAGCCTATTTAAATTATGTATTGGTCTGATTAATAGTACCAGAAAATATAATCTGTGCGGCATTGGCTGTAATTCTAGGAATGTTATCATATTTTTTAATACTTATTTTTATACCGTATATGTTTCCTTTTAAAAATTAATTTGTTAAATTTTATTAGATCAACGAAACCATCCAATATTGATACATTGTAACAAGGGCAAGGTAAATAAATATATTGATACATTATAGCCTATTGTTATGTATGATTTTTTTTCAATTTCCTTTCGCATCTTGAAAGCACCGAACGGGTTGTCTGGTTGGATGTCTTCGAAAGTTACAGCGATGGACTCACACGTCAATATTTGATGAATACCGACGTTTTTCGAGTCCAAAATCGCGATCAATGGATCAACAATTTATCGAGCTATTTGACGCAAGTCAAGTTTGGAGACTAGTAGATAGAAATCATTTACCAAAATGGGAAGAATTAGGTAAGGCACATAAAGGTTCGTCATTAAAGGTTTCGGTATGATACTACAATTCCATTATTATTAATTTCAGATGTTCCTTGGTAATTGAAATTCTTACATTATACCAGGGTAGTGAGTTACATAGTCTAGAAAAAAAAATCATAAGCGTCGAGAAACATCGTACAAAAGCATTGATAGAACTTTTATTTATTATTAGTAAACGATTTTTTGGTGTAATATATGATAGTAGTTCATGTATATCGCTTTGTATTAAACGAAACTCAATGGTTTTTTTTTTTTTATAATTATAATAAATCGAATGAGTGTTCTTTTCATTTTTACTAACCATTTATGTGTCATGATTATTTTTAAATGATGCATTTCTGATTTTTTTTAATCACTATAATTAGGCCATACAAATTTATATTATTGGTTTTCATATCCCGGCCGGGTGATTATGTAACTAAAGCAAAATTGAACACTGATTAAATTAATATGAATAAAATTATTGAATGTGATCTATAGAAGTTAATATCTTTCATATTCACGAAGTTGAACCTAGATCAATCTATTATGATAAAATATAGCAAAAAGACAAAAATATGACTTTGCAATAATCAAAATTTTATGTGCAAATTATTATTTGACTGGCAAAAATTTTGAAAAAATCGACGCAGCTAAACTGAAAATTAACTTTGGCCAGAATCACTAGATGTTATTTCTTTTCCGTAGGTTCAACAATGGTCTTTATAAATTACGAAATTTATTATTTATTTATCAAAGTTTGGAAGTATTAAAAAAGACTTCTAAAATTTTTTTGGTTATCAAAAATCATATTTTCGATATATTACTATTTTATTAGATTTATGCGTAGCTATACATTCCCATACACCACTTTATTATACCCAGTACAATTTGTGTTGCTTCGTTTACACCTACAGGGTGAGCGAAGTGAACCCTGTAGTCGCTCGCTACGGCTGTCGCCTCCGCTTCGCTCATTTTTCCTAAACGCTTAACATTAATCTCAGTTCTAATCCTAACTTTAAAACCAACTTCCTAACGCTAGAACCAAACTACAACTTATACAAAGCCAAAAATTTAACACGAAAAGTCCAATATTACATACAGTGCGTGAATCATGCCAACACAGCAAACGTCACAAATGATGGAAAATATTCCAATTAACGCCTATTCAAGATACTAACGTCGTAGTGAATCACACCAGTACAACGCCAAACCGATGAAAAAAACGCCAAATATAGCGCAACAAAACTCGACACCAACAACGGAAGTATTCCAATTAACGGCACCAAAAAGCAAAACACGACAACGGTGAACGATTCAATACCAGAAAAGAAGAGTTAGTGCTGCATAAACACGAAAATAAAACTGAAAACAAAAAAAAAAAACAAAAAGAAATTCTTAACTGTACGCGTAACCTTACATTGAAAAAGCACGACCAACGACAAAAAAGAAGCACTAACTCGCGCCAAAAGAAGCACCGAATTCGACGACACCAATGACGAAAGAAAAGACTGTATCACGGAAAAAAGCACCGAACCTACAACAAAGAAAAAACCGCATTACAAGAAACAACGAATTGGAAGACGCCAGAGCCGAAAAGAAAAACACCAAACTGGACGACACCAACACGAAAGAAGAAGTCACGTTACAAAAAAGAACACCAAATTGGACGCCGAAGGGAAAACACCAAACTGGACGACACCAACGACGAACAAAGCACATCACTAAAATTGAACAATTTAAACTAATAATAAAATAAATAAATAAATAAATATATGTTAGTACTTGTTAAATAAAAAAAGAACAAGAAAAAAACGAAAAAAAAAGAATAACTATTTTTTTAAAAAAAAACAATAAAACAAAATAATGAGACGGTCGTTGCTGGGAATCGAACCCAGTGTGAATCACCGACAGACAACGACTTTACTTTACACACTTAATACTCGGGAAAAGACCAAAATAAAAATATTATTTTAAAAGTCAACTC